TTTATATTGGGAACGCAAAAATAAACATAAGATAATTTAGTTTATATCTGCAATAAACGCAATGATATACCAGTACAAACGAAAAACTATACTGAAACAAGTTCGGTTCAAGAAGTTTCGAGAAATTTAAATTGAATACAGTATATTATTTTGTAACCACAAAATAGATTAAAACTGTTTGCGTTTTAACGGATTGTTTAACGTAGCATGTTATTAAATTTCAACATTTATTGCCATTCATAAAAAAAGAAAAATTATCGAAAATGTCAAATAGTCACGGAATATTTTGAAAATAACACGTTGTCTAGAACTCTAGAAAACGAATATTAATCAAGAATATATCGAATTGTTGTAAACAAATTATTTATAACATATTTATTATGGACCTTTTAGAATATTGTCTGAAAGTTATAATTTTTTATTTAAAAATTAATATTAATTTTATGTAGACTGGTTAAGGCGAATTCGTATTCGTATTCCACTGGGACACATATATTTTTCATACATATTTAATAACCAGTTCGCGTCGTAGCGGAAAAGTCTTATCAATAAATGTAAAACGAAAATTCTCAAATTGTACACAATTGGTGGAAATTCGGAAACCGTCGACAATCAAATAGAAAACTTCGGTAATAATCTCAGTAAATTCCTGGGGCTCCGCACGAGTGACTCGGCGGTGATCAGTATTCTTTGGTTATGAGAAATAAACATCATAATAATAATAATAATGACAATAATCGGTACCGAGAGTCCAAGGATAAATGGGCGAGCCCGTCGTATTATGTTCTATCGACAAGTACCCCGAGGTACGTTCGACCGACATTGTTTCTTCTGTCTGCCAAGTTATAACCAAGCTCGACAGCGGAGTGAAACCTATGGGGGGGTCCAAATGTTGCTCAAACAACACCTTAAATACGGACGGTTACTGCGGGGTGGGTATCGCTAGAAGGACAATAATGAATTAATTAAGCCGATATTATTGTTATAGCAGACAAATGCGAATGTAATTTATTATATTTATGTTGGGTTGTATTCGAGTGTTTTTAAATAAAACAAATGATAACTATTACACGACAATGTACGATAAAGTTTAGATATTTTAATGTGTTTTTTTTTTTTTTTTTTTTTTTTACGGATTCTCTTTTATGAATTTTCATGTTGTACATCGTTATTGTAATATATTTTTTTTTTTTAAATAATTTTTCAATCATTAATTTGAGAAAAATTAAAAAAAAAAACAACATTAAATTCTGTTCGACGTCACCCCGTTTTACGGTATAAAAACTAATGGGAATATATTTTACCGAAATTTTATCGGTAGTTATAACAATATTATGAGGGGGGGGGGTCACTTAAAATTATTTGAGCAACGCTAATTTTTTTTTTGTATACACATCACTGAAGTTTAATGCACGGAGGACAAGTGAATAGTCGTTCAACGAGTGATTTATACCGAGAGGACATTATTGGACACGGTCTAAAATTAAGGTATCGGATGCAGTATATAAACGGGTCGTTGTAGAAACGAAATGTCAAGATGGACGTGACTAAAGATTGAACAATATATTGGCAACGACTATACAATTATGGGCGGTACCTATAGTGGGTGTATCGGGAAAATGGAGAGAAAAATAATTTTGATCAAATCATTGCGAAACTCCCGACGACAAATTCTAACTTTGTGTCAAAATACGATGTTGAGTGGTCACAATAAAATAAAAATCATTTTCAAATTTTACAAATTTGCATGTAAACAGATTAAAATAGGCGCTCTAATTTCACCTCCCTTTCCCCTTGTATCCAGTGGGACGACGCAATCGACGCAGAATATTATAATTTTTTTTTCTCATTCTTATCATTTCAAAAATGTGACGTACTATCGATTTCCTTCGGCTGTAGTTTGAATTAAATTCGTTCGGTCCTCAGTAAACACTGAGCGGCGGTATCGGTTCCGTCGAGACTAATTAAAACGCCCACAACCTACACACAAAATTATCGTCTACCGGTTTAGATCCCGAATTCCGCGAACCACGTTTTTGAGGATAGAAGTACTTATTAAACATTTTCGGACGGCTCTTCTTGCACGTAGGCGGCCCGTGAGAACGCTCGCACCGGTCAAACTTATGGGAAACGGGAACGATCGAGTTTTTTGGGACAGGAGGATTTGCGGCGAGTTTCGCAAAAAGGATTATAATATGACCGAAAGTTTACACGAGGCTATTAAATTACATGTTATCCGTATATTATTATGGTAAGGTACCTACGCACGAAAAAGCGGGTCTTGCAAAGTTTTCGCGTAAAATATTATGTGTTTAAAGAGGTTTTTTTCTTTTTTTTTTTTTTCTGAAACGTTGCAATTTTGAACGGGTATACGCATAGTTTTGTATTTTTACTATAACGTCCGAAAAAGTTTTTAACGGTCGGCGTGTACGCAATTATGTATGTACGGGGAAGACACTGGACCTTATCCCCCCTTCTCGAGTAAAAAAAAAAAAAAATCAAATCAGACAAATGTTCCTGCAGCGAAGTATAATATAAGTATACGGCAATCGTACGTATAGTCGCGTCGTTGTGCCGTTGTATTAGTTCCGGAGCCGGGGCGGTGATAAAAGCAAGTTACCTTTATGATCGGCGGCGAAACCGGGAGGGGAGTTCGGCTGTTATAACCACGTCCGCAATTAGATATGTAAAATAGCCGCGTTTCGTAGGAAACTAGGAACAGCAATGCCCGGAGCGGATTTCTGTAATGCGTTTTAGACTTTGGCCCGTTTCACCCGACACTAACAGTCGTGTTGCATGCAGTGTGATGATAGCTGATGGTGTGTTAGATTTCAGGCCCGTCTTTGATGTTAAACTGGTTCGGGGAATCGTCGTCGCGGTTAGCCGGCGTAAAAGTGTCGACATCAGGACGTGTCCTATTTTCCACGCTATAATCGACAGCGCGTTTGACGCGTTAACGGAAATCGATCGGACCGCAATGTCATCGCGGACGCGTACCGTCTTCGCGTGGGCAAACGTAAAATAATTGTAAACGAAATCAAATCGAATCGAATTAATTTATCGGACTCGATATAATTGTGCCGACACTGTTGTACTATTGCGGCACACGGTAAACGACAGTCAGGACCGCGGGGCGTACGGAACACGAGTGTTTTTGTTGACTCTGCCGCTGGTTTCCAGTGACTTTTTATAGTGTACCGTACGTTGTGGCGCGAGCAGAACGTAACACCGGGTTCCGGTACGACGAATCGCAAAACAATATTCGAAACTGGCCAGTTCGCCGGAGACGGCGCGGTAAGCGTACGGTATCGCGTGAGACGGGCTATAGATTCAGGCGTGTATGACAAAGCGAATGAGAAACAAACGTTTTTACCGAGATTTTTGTTGAGTTTTTCGTAACGCGGTACATTTTCGAAACGTCGTTCTAGATTCTCGACGGATCGTCTAGACAATTTGGAAACGATCGACAACAGATGACGGCGATACGTCGTTATTATTTTGTCGGGTTTTCCGGTCGCGTCACTGTTCATGATAAAGACTGTCGTGTGGGAAACTGATTATTGATGGACCGTTCGATTACAATTTAGACGATTAGACAGTTGAAATTTACACGCATACCCAGTGAATATTGAAACCCCTTACAAAATATTCTCAACTGTAAATTACGAACCCCCGCCAGGAAAATATTTAAAATACGTCACCGATGTATAAAGCAAATCAGTATTATATATAGTTGTGGATATCCTACAGCTATCGGCTATAAATTATTTGTCGACCGTCCCTTAAACTTAAATTAAGTTTGCGCGCTGACGGGTCCGCCGCGTTACTGCAGTAAAGTAAAAAAAAAAAATGAAAATGACAGTGAATTCAATTTGTTCCGACTGTGATTCGACAGCCGCAATTAGGTAAAAAAAAAAAAATACTATAAATTAAAACGCCCGCGTTTAGTTAATTAATTACCCATCTACTCGCTATATGTATATACTTTTTGCGCTCTTGAAATCGTTAAAGTGAAATCGACTTTTTTTTTATTTTGGTGGCGTAATGGCCGTTGTACGGATTAACGTGTTACCGTCGGTACTATAGCGCCATTATAGTTATTATTAATCGAACGATACGCACAGACTTATCCCGCGAATAAAATACACGTGTGCCCTTTGCGGGACGGGGAGTGAGCACGGCGGGCAGCTGCCCCTCTTGGCGAGATTATCCGCCAGCGTATTTAAAAACAATGTCAATATTGTACACTGTTGACAGATAGTCAAGATACGAGGTTTGGCTGTATAAATAACGAGACTGCGCGCGCAGAGAGCGTCCCAAAAAGGTTAGGGGAAAACCGAATACAGCGCTGGTTAGCTGGAAGTGTCTATTATGCCAGTACGAAATTGGGTTTTTGTCGGTGCATTAGTATTTTTTCTGTAGCGTTTAGAAACGAACATGTTTTTTTCTCTTGCCGAAAACGATGTGTGATGAAAAACATGAGTAACGGATAAACGTAAAATTTTCTCGTTTAACTAAAAAAAACTCCAACTGAGTGCTATAAGTTGTTAAAAAAGGCCTATAGTGAGGATTTCCTATCTCGGGCGCGTGTTTTTGAGTGGCATAAATTATTTTCCGAAGGTCGAGAGTGCACCGGAATCCAATTCAGTCGTAATCCAAATTCAAAACCATGCTGATCGTTTTCTTCGATATCAACGGCATCGTGATGACTGAATGGGTTCCAGAGGGTCAAACTGTGAACCAACATTACTATTTGACAGTTTCGGCAATATTGCGCGAATGAGTTCGTAAGAAACGGTCGATATTGTGGAAAGACTTGTTTTTCGATCTTGCACCAGGATAACGCACCCGCTCATAACGCGCTGTCTGTGAAGCGTTATTTGGCCGCTTAAGGCACTCCAGTACTCGGACACGCGTCTTACTCACCCGACTTGGCACCCTGCGACTTTTACTTGTTTCCGAAGATAAAGTCTGCCTTAAAAGGAATCCGGTTTGAGTCGATGGAAGAGGTGAAACAAAAAATCGGCGGAACTCCTGAATGGTCTTACGAAAGCAGACTTCCAGCACTGCCTCGAGCAATGGAAGAAACGAATGAAACGGTGTGTGAAGAGGTTAGGTTAGGTGAGGTTATTGAAGGGGAACATTTGGTTGTGGAATAATTTTTAAAATAAAACCATTTTTCATAAGCAGTCTCGTTAATTAATAGTCAGACCTCGTATGTCAGACAATCTGACGTACCCGTTATTACTGGGGCATACAGTTGTGTTTGATGTGTCGTCGCCTCGTGCAAAAATACGTACCGAAACCGCCACCGGTGCGTAATGCACAATATAATCGGTTATCAAAAGTCGGAAAAATTAGTGTAATAGTACAAGCGATATCGGATCGGCAGGACGGCAACGTCGTGTGTAACAATCGCGGTGTTTTAGTTTACGAGTGACCGATCGTAAACTCTGTCGGTTTTGTTGTCTCGCCTGTTACGGGTAACTCTCGTTAAAACTGACAAACGATATTAGTTTATTGCGATTAGTTTATCAATATTTACGAACTATGACATGTCAGACGAAAATACAAATAAAAATAATGATGTTGTACCGATTGTATGTATGCGCCGTTAGGTCAGTAGTTTTATATTTTGTTTTTTACCGACTTTATGTATTTTTAAGTTTTATACGTTTTTTCGGCATATCGGGCACGCGCCTGTTATTCGACGTGGACGATTATTAATCGTTATTATGCAACACCACGATTATTTTGTTCGGTAAATTGTATTAAACGCGTTATACCGTTACTTGATTGTCTTCGTAGCGTACGCGAACTCAAGTCTACCCGTTTATTTTTCCCGGCGGAGATTACACTAGAAAAAAAAAAGAAAAAAAAAAAAAAGGAAAAAAGTACTCGTCGCGGAGTTTACACGCCGAGTCCGTTCCGGCGCCGTGCGAACCCCGGCGGTTCACCGGCGAACCCAGGGTCTATGGGATCCCTGGAAAATTTCTCGGCCGCGATAATCTGCCGCGCACGCCTGCGACGCGACGTCGACGTGATTGCGAGAGCGCGCGCCCCGTCCGCGGTGGCGCGACGCTTTTGACGTTATCGGTGCGCCGGAATCGCGCGGGTTTGTGTAATTACACCGTTTCCGATCGGTTCACCACCCCCCCCCCCCCCCCNCCCCCCCGGCAGAATTCACGTACGAGCCCAGCGAACGTTTTTTTACGGGCGCGCACATAATATTATCTCGTACATACTTACGCGTTTGGCGCGTGCCGCAAATTATACACGCGTTTACCCACACGCCGTATGGGTTGAAAATTCGTTGTCGGCCGCGCCGAGCGAAAATCACATATTAAAACTGCGTAACGTACTCGCGTTATGCTTTTCGGACGGGGTCACGGCAAATTGCAATGCGCGTAATAATATTTTTCATCATCCCGGTTCGTTTATGGCCCGGATCGCTCACGCCCAACCGTAATAACGTCACGGCCGTTGTACATTGTCGTTACAGTTTTTACGTTTCGTTATTCGTCCAACGCCCGCCGGGATGAAATGTGCGAACACGAAAACAAAATTTATTACAAACAGAACGCACGTGAAAAAATGCAACCGTCGCGCCGAATCGTCTTCTCGCCCGTCACTGGCGACGGTACGCGTAATACGCGCGCGCGGCCCGCGGTTTTACACAAAGGACAAACGATTCGGAATAATCGAATAAAAAATGTCCGATAAACTAGGCGCTTTTCGCGTGGCGCGAATCGAACGGGTCCGAGTAGAACAACGGCATAACCGGGACGACTGGACATCCGGTAGTCGGCGGCCGCATTCGCGCGGGAACACGAGTATGCGTGTACCGAACCCTAAATCGAAATTAGCTTTGAACCGCGTCTACGTCTATGGGCCGGTGGCCGGACCGTCGAGGACCGGCCGCAGAGCCGTTACGGGCGTTACGCACCGCACACTGTCACTGCGAGTCACTGCGAATGATTTATCAGTAGTCAATGTTAGCTTAACCGAATCAGATTCGTTTACGATAAGAACAGTACAAAGCGCGATTCGCGATATTCGAGATATTAAATTATCGTCGGAGTGGTCAGCGATCGAAAAGATCGTTTTTTTTTTTTTGTATTTATCGGGCAAATATCGAAACGACGCCCCCGCAGGAAGTTTTACTGAAAACCATCAACAGTCGTCTGTCGCGCACAGAACCGTCGTTTCGATAAGAAAGTACTGTATTATTTACCTAAATAATTTTGTTGACGAATACAAAACACGAATTGTTATTATTATTTTTTTTTTTTTTTTTTACGCACTATTACAGTGCTGGTAATTAAAAATAAAAAACCACCTATTCAACGCGCAAACGCATACTTACCCGTTAATATCATTGTCGCCGGAAGCCGTTATTATCTGGCCGGTGAAAAACAGCAGAATTTCTTTCCCGCGCTCGCAGTATCGATCGACTGATGAAGGTGCGTTGTTAATTTATTTTTATTCTTTCGGCCGTTTCCTTTTTTTTTAAATTGCTTTTTTATAGGCCCGTCATATAGATATACTCGTATACTCTGTTCGGGGCGAAATTTAGTCTCTCGGACGACGAAAACGCCGCGCGTTCGCGCATCGCCGTCACTGCACTACCCTCCCGCCATATGTAAGCACACCGGCGTCAGTGGCCGTTGTCCAAACACGGGACGCGCGGGGATCCGCACTCGCTCGGCGCTTCGGTCTGCATGCGCGAAAGCGGTTCAACCGCATCCGGAATACTAATGTATAGTGTGTATACTGTGTATGTGACAGCGGTCACAGAGAGTTTAAGTTCACGGTTACATTTGACGGCCGCTCGTCACCGCTGGTCTTGGCAATTCGATAATGAAACACCGTTCGGTTTTCATAGCTAATATCTAATATAGATTTTTTTTTTTTTATACATATGCCCGACCGTTAATCGTTAGCGACCGCACTTGGTCTACCGCGATTGTCATCGATAAGCCTCGTGTCGCCGTTTTAAAATTAGTATTGCCGCAGTGGCCGACAGCGACAGCACTGTTATCGCCGTTACTTTGTTACGGCGACGCGTTTTTTTTTTTGCACTTGCATTCAGGAATCAAAAAAAAAAAAAAATCCCTATATAATTCGTTACTACAGACGCTTTCTGCAGACGCGCGAGATTTCGCATAAACGTCTTTGGAAAGGTTCAACGGGGGGTTGTTTTTTTTTTTTTTTTTTTATCGTTACCGTGTAAAGCCGTTACGGCTGAACGCTGGAGAATGAGCGTTTATCATAATGTTATCGTTATAGACCTGTAAGAAAAGAAGACGGGTAGGAAGAAGAAAAAAAAAAATACGAAAGTCATCATATTATTATATCATAAACCTTATATTTAACTGGTACATACAGCACAAAATAGGAGTACACATCAGTTCTAAATATTAAGTGCCCTGTTCTAAACGTTACAGATATTTAATAATATTATATAGGTAATTCTAAGCTAATACACGTTTTTTTTTTTTTTTTATTTTTTTTTTATCGACATTTATTCGTTTTTATATATTATATATTTTATTTTATTTTTTTTGTTGTAATATAATACAGCGGGTATGGCAAATAAATCGAAGGATGTATACATTGTATATTATAATATGTATATATGTATTGTTACAGTAATAATAATAATATAATAATATTGTATTATATTCTAACTAATATTAACGTCCTTGAATGCTAACAAACTACACACAAAAAAAAAAAAGTATTACAATAAATAAATAAACGAAAATAAACACACGGCGCTTTTACTATTATAATTATATTATTATCCCGTAATATTTATATATATATATATGCATGCATGTATGTATGTAAATTTTTTTTTATACATACACATATAAATACACTGCAGGTTTGAAGTTATTATATATACTTAAGTCACATAATATTATTTTGTTCGAACATCATTCAGCCAGTTTTATACGTTTTTTTAATTTTTTTTTTTTTTATAACACAACAGGTGGTTAGCGCGGCAACAAGAGCGAATATTATTATAATAATAGTTGTTTAATGTAAATTTTTAGTAAATCGTTAATTTTTTTTTTTCGGTAGAAAATTCAAAACGTTTTTTTTTTCGTTTGTACTTTTTTTTTTTTTTTATAATCTTTTGAATTATAATTGAAACATATATAGGAACTTGAACACATAAAAAATACGCCTAAAATAAACAAAAAAATAAAAAAAAATAAAATAAAATAAAAAGAACATATATTATTATTGTTATACCGGCCTGCCACACGAGATAATATCATATTAAGTGGGTATATAAAGATTTTACAAGACGTGCGTATCAATAATGATTGGCGCGGTCGTCGAGTCGATCGAATCGAGTACACGCCCAACGTTTAACGTTATTGTTGTAAAAAAGCAAAAAAAAAAAAAAAAACAAAAAACCGGACGAAAAATGATACGAGACGCGGAAATTAATACGATCGTAATATAGTATATATTATTGGTCATAGACGGAATACGAACGGACCGCGTCCCGCAGGGTGTTTTCGGCGCGAGTCGTCATTCAGGCTTTGGGTTGGTACGGTGTAAAAACACGATACGATATTCATTTTTTCCGGGACAATATTGTTTATCGTCGGCCGTCGGCAGCACTCCGAACCGTAACGCAAAACACGACGTGTACCGTGAAAACCGTCGACAACGCGACGGTTTTTACGCGATATTCGTTTACGACCCGAACGATACACGACCCCGTTCGCTCGCGCACACGTCCCCGTGTACAGGGGGAACGCGCTGCAGTCCGTTTGAATTACGTTTACGGTGTAGGCATAATAATAATAATAATAATAATAATATTAATAATAATAATATATGTATAATTAAATTTGAATAAGAGAAAAAAAAAATAATAATAAAAAACATGACTGGCTGAACGGTGCAAGGGGGCGTGATGGGAGGGGGGGACACACGTCAGTATGTATATCGTAACATTTTATATATATATATATATATATATACATATTGTATTTGTATATTATTATAATAGTAGGTACGTCTGTCGAACAGGTAAATAATAATATTTGTATCGATATTATCGTTATTAGTTATTATAAAAATAGGGAAAGGGGCGAGTATAATATTATAATATAACGAAATCGTTATCACGGTACAACCCACGCGATAAGACGCGTGTGTTTACGTATTATTTTATTTGATTATGTATACAATTATAATTATTATAATTACAATAGGTTTATATGTATATTTATAGAAAATATAATATAATAATATTATCGTTCCGTCGGCGCGTGTGTGTGTAAGTGTGTGTGTGTGTGTGTGTGTGTGTGTGTGTAAAAGCTTAGAACACGACTTCGAGTAAAATAGTAATGTTGTAAAAAAAAAAAAAAAAAAAAAAAAAAAAAAATAA